AAAAAAACCTTTTACGACACAACATCCGTCCGCGGCATCCACAGTTTGAAAAGAGCAGAGCCAATCACAGCCCTGGATTCATTCAACTGTACAACATGTACTACAGTGAAGAGTAATTATAACACGGTGTTTTTTCTGTTTATGGGTTCTTCTGTTCGTTTTTGGGCATTACCTACTTTAGTATGAACACTAATTCCAGTCACACACACACACACATATATATAAATATTTGTGCTTATACATGTAGTTTTGAAAAAACTATTGCACCTAGATAAGAATTTATGTGTAAAAAAAGGTTGAGATTAGGAATGAGATCATTAGAAGTACTGCACAAGTTGAACAACTGGGAGATTTTTCATTCAACCTTTATTTATACTGGTTAGTCTCACTGAGCCACGAGGACTCATTTACGAGAGAGAAAGATAACAATAAAAATGCAATTAAAATGAAGTAGTAGTGTATAAAACAACAAATCAAGGTGTCGTAAAACAAGGTGAAATACTAAAAACGAGAAGATATTGCTTTGATGTTTCTACTTTATCAAATGTTTACAATCTCCTAATTAGGTGGACAGCTTCAGTTCTTGTTGCAAGGTGTTCCAGGTTGCAGGAGCAGAGAAACGGCCTTTTGCCAAGTTCAGTCTGCACTGAGTGAACGCTGCAATGATGGCCTGAGAGCGCACGCTGTAACTGCACTGACGACGTGACAAGTGGGAGGAGATAATAGGCAACAGACCAAGGAGGGATTTATAGATGAAAATGAACCAGTGTGAGAGCCTATGTTAGATCAACTGACCAATGAATACATAGTGCAGTGATGGGTACAGTAGTTACAACCAGTTATGAATCAGCGCGCCATGGTAGACATCGTCCAACATCTGCAAGCAGCTGGCAGGAGCATTCATGTAAATAATGTCGCCATAGTCAATGGCTGGTAGGAAAGTAGCAGTTACAATGTGTTTTCTGACATTCAAAGCTAAGCAAGATGTGGTTTAAAAGAGAGATGTGCATCAACCAAAATTCCCATGTATGTGTAAGAATCTACAAACTCAATAGGAACACCATGCATGGATGAGATAGGAGAACGAACTGCTGGCACAGACTTTCTGTTGGAAAACAACATCCCTTTGGTTTTCTCAGCATTTAGCACCAGTTTGAGATGGAATAAAAGTCTGACTGAATGATGTCAAATGTAGACAAATGCAGATAAAATTAGAGAGGTTCAGACTGAGATGGTTTGGACATGTCCAGAGGAGGACGCAGTGGGACTCATTTTCAGCCCTGGAGTTTCACGCCTCAGATTGGCCCACTTCAGATCACATCCTATTATTATTAAAATTATGTAATTATAACCTTATATCAGGGTCAGTTCTAGAATATGCACTTTCAGGGGGTCTTAGGAAGCCATTTATGCCAAACAGGAAAAAACAACTTTAAACAGAGGTCTCAGATTTCAGTTTTTAAAACCATGCTATGCAGCATTATGCCTGATATCCATCAAGTTTCACTCCAATCCACATCTTCATGAATGTGACCAGAACGTCTCTCATGCATACCAAGACCCTAATGAGTCTGTTGCGAGTTTTAATCTACATGCCCCCCACACAACCTTGTGACGGGCCTGAGGATTACATTATTCCAGTGTGCCTCAGAGTTCTTAATAAATGTAGCTTATCACTATACTTACATTATACTTTTCCTTTAATATTTCATAAAACATTATTTGCTTTTCTGTCTATTCATGAAACAGAAAAGTACAGGAAACCACTGATCATTTCTAAGAACAGATAAATTACCCCATTTATGCATTGATTGTGATTGAGTAATTAATTTATCCTCTCTTGTTATGGTATTCTAAGATATTTTGAAGAAAACAACTTGTTGATAACAAACACATCAAACATCGCCTATTATAATTATCAATTATCGTTTGCAATCGGTGATTTTCTTATTTTACTCACTTAAAGACAAAACTTTAAAAAGACTTTTCTGTATTATCACTTTTATTAAATAGTTTAATGCAGTTTGACATTTGACAATACTGTGACAACGCAGTAAACTGATGTTTAAATTCAAAACTTAAAGTTAGACAGTGCTGCAGTCTTACTTCAAGTGTGGAAGTGCGTGGTTGTATTAGTTGTACATTTAAAAGGAAAATAATGTGACAATATTGTAGAAGCAGAAAAATACACAAAAAGTACAAAATGTTGGAACAGTTACTTTGTTACGGGGTTTAGGAAAAATCTGCACTGTAAAAATGAATTTTTTAGAGTTACAGTGGTCCAGTCGAACAGGTTTAACTAACGTTTCAAACATTAAATGTGAAACTGTGTATTTACACTCATGTAACAAACCGTACTGAGGCCGAGTGTCATATTTTCAGTAAAAACACACAAACAGTATTTTTATCATTAACATTACAAACTGTGCACACTTCTCTGGTAATAGTATCTCAATCAATCCAAGAAGGCACAGATGTTATTTTATCATGAAATGTATGAAACAAAAAAGCCTATAAAATAAATCTAAGTTGTAAAAAACATCTACAAAAAATGTTAAAGAGAAACCAACTCTGGTGGAGATTAATTATTGCAGTTTATTACATTTTACCTGGAATTATGTGTAACTTATTCATGACAACAGAAAGAGAAAGATGAGTTATAACTACAACAATGGACTATACGATAATAAATAATGTTTGCTTTGAAGAAAAAGTGAACCTACAAAATCTAAACGCATCATGTGTTCATAAAATAAAACACATATTTGGTCACAACAGCCTAAAAGTGTGGGTTAGTAAACTTTTGTTATACACTTTATCCATTTTTTTTTAATTGCAGGAAGAAATTGCTGCCTAACGATTAAAATATTTAGTTCCCAAATAGGAAATTTGGTTTAGGCCTTGTCCACACGAAAACAACATTTTTCCAAAACAACCTTTATTTATTGTTTCTAAAAAAATATCCATGTAGACACGGTAGTTTCTAGAAATTTCTTCATCCTCAAGAAAACACCAGAAATGACCCAAAACACTGTAGTAACTATGCCCGGCCTGTAGCGCTGACATGAATATACAGCAAAAACAGTAAACATGGCGTGGAGCATCTGTTTAACGCTTGGGTGCAAAATGTAAACAAACAAACAAAAAATAGTACACCGTCAGATCGTAAGTCAGATTAAAGGTGGGGCAATGTTTTCAAAAGACTCTATTTTGTCTGTCTACACAAAAATGCAAGAGTGGCGTTTTGAGAATTGTTCACTCTGAAAACCGTTAAAAAAAAACACTAGGGCTCCTAAAGCACTTTTTTTGTGGCTAGAGATGAAACTATAAAAGGAACTTTTGCGTATTCACAAAAAACTGTCCCCATGTGGACAACACATTAGTTTGTCTAAGCTCTTCCCCACACAGTTCATGTTTATAGTTTATCAGCTGTAGACAATTCACATGAATAAAGTGAGTGTTCCTATGAAGCATATAAGGCATAAACATTTACCGGAGTATTATTTACTGCACTATAAAGAAAACACTGATCGTTGGTTGGTTGATAAACTACACACTCCTCATATATTTTGCTTGCGTCCTTTCTAAGGAATTGGTGGGAAAAGCAAACACTCTGCTCATTAACTGGTAGTATGTAAACTAAAGGGGCAGCGTGTCTCACATTTCCACCAAGGTTCCAGGTGTGACCTTTACTGTTACTGTTGCATGGCACCCTCTCACAGGCAAGAAGGCAGGACAGAGCTTCTGAGGCGGTCACAAACATGAAGACGTGTCAAACAAAGGTCTGCACTGGCGTGATGGAGCGTGTGGGCGAGCCGGCCCTCTCGGAGGAAGAGGAAAGAGAACGGTTCGTCACCTCCCGCCGTAACTCGTCTACTCTTTTCTGAAGCTCGGCGCGCTTTGCTAACAGCTCCTTGTGTCGTTGGTGAATAGGTTCCTTGCAGGAGGCATGGGGAAAAAAAAGGCAACTTGTAAAACTCAGTATTTGAAGGTCAGAGGATGAAAAGCTGGTTTTGTGACCTACCTGAGGTTTCATGCGAGGGTTCCAGCGGATGTAGTAGCCAACCCAGAGCTCCAGGTGGCGTAAGCTGACGACAGGGAACAGCACGTGGTTGGAGTAGTTCACATACAAAGGGTTGGAAAAGTCCTCCAGCTGGCTGTTAATGAAGGACCACAGTGACACTGTCCTCTTGGGGATCTCCTTTAAAATAAAGGTTCAGACAGATTTGATTAAATTTGCAACAAGCTTCATGAGTTCCTTGCATCCAACAATTGTTCAAATGTAATGAATCTAAACGGGTCTTACTTCCTTCAGTCGTTGCTGTTCACTGTTACACAGAAAGGTCCCAAACAGGCAGCTGTACAGGTGATCCAGGATGGTAACCAGGAAGTATTCGTTAAACTCAAAAGCTGCAGGAAACTTGAGTAAAAATAACCCAATTATTACCTTTCAAAGATCTTTGTTTCTGCATATAAGTAACTTCCTTCAACAATTATTGCTTACCTGGTGAGTCAACTGCCAAACACAGTCAATGAACTGGATAAAAACCGGTGAACGGTCTGCATCTGTGTGGTTTTTATCACCGTGACCGATCCGCTAAACAGAAAATAAAATCAAGATTGGTGATCTGTGACCATAGAAGAATTGTTTCAAAATGGCGACGTATCGTTTACCAGCTGGAAGCGATGACCGAAACTTAGCCACTCTTTCTCGAGCAACACCTCAAAGCCTCGAATGGTGCGGTAGTAACCGTCCAGCATGAGCATGGCCAAGGAGGTGAGCTGCGTCGTGCGGTCCCAGCCGTCGCTGCAGTGCACCACCACAGACGTTTTCCCTGACTCCACCTTGTCTGCGATCCTCAGTGCCCCTGCCAGGATCAGCTTCAAACACAGCGTCCAGAAATAAACACGACACGGTGACAAAAATTTGACTTTTACGTTTAATGGTGTCAGACTCACCTTGATGTGCTCAAGCCAGTGAGTGGACTCCAGATTGGAAAGCCAGTGCGAGTCCTCAATATTGGGGTAAGCGATCTCCTTTAGCTTGCGGAGGGACTCTCTCATCACATGGATATTGTGGATGTCCAAAAACACGAGCTCAGCGTTTTGATACGCATCTTCACTTTCATACCCGCCACCCTTCATCTGTGGAAAGAAGTGGGCGACATGTTTTCATTTGCTAACCTGGTCCGTTTGCTGCCTCCTGAAGACACCAAATAAAACTGCAGTTGTACTGAACAAATACAGCAACAGGAAATAGGAAGTCCAACCATGGAATTCTAGGGTTTCACATTTCTGGACATGATAACCTCAAGTGTACAAAAAGACACAACAAAGTCCATTAAGTCATTAACAAACATTTTGTGAAATCTATTGTTTCCACAGAATTTAAGAGAAAAAGTAGGTGCTGCTGCTCAGATTCACCTGATTGATCATCATCAGTGTGACCAGAGCTATAAAAGCAGTTTTTAGCTGATCTGGAGCATACAGGTGCATTTAACACAATGCCAAAGCGGAAAGACATCAGCAATGACTGTTCTTGTTCCAAGGGACTGTTTTTGCTCATCAATCTGGGAAGGATTACAGGGAATTTAAACACTTCAGAGTAGAACATGGCAGCACAACTGAGGTTTAAAAAGTTGTGAACCACAAGAGTGACAAAAAGACAGAGTGTTGCAGCGGTCCACTCAAAACCCAGACCTCATCCTGGTTGGAATGCTGTGGTGGGACCTTAAGAACTCTGCAGAAACAAATGTCTGCAAACCTCCCTGAACGTTGGAAAGAAAAGTGGGCCAAAACTCCTTAAATATGTAGAGACAGAGTTGTTGCTGTTAAAGGTGGCTCTTCAAGCTGCTGAATGATGGAGAGGGCTTACAGCAGTTTTCATGCACAACATGGAGGAATCTGTTGTGTGTTTTGGTTTTTGTTAGATTTTAATCATTTCAGAACCTGGTGAAGACCAGATTATTGTGAGAATGTTTATGAAGCCTTCACGCTACTGTCGTCCATTTTTCTTCCGTACGTTTTTCGGCGCAATTCTCGTCCTACAGTTTTTAAGCTACATGAACAAAACACAAATCAAAACGTTCAGCTCTTTCAGGAGAAGGGTTCTATAACTTTTGATATTGGTGCAACTTTAGCTTTTTGGAATATTTAGCCTTTTCTGCCACTTTTTCCCCTCATAGAAAATGAATTGAGCTCATTTTACATCCTTCATATCTTTAGATGTGTTTACAACCTTTTACTGCTCCTTTCATATTTTGTTCGGCTTCGGCTTCTTTCAGCTTCCTTGTGCAAAAAAATAAAAAATAAAAAATTAAATCAGCTATTTTAGCTAATTTCAACTTTTTTTGTGTGTGGTTGTTTTGTGCTCCTTTCAGATTCTTTCTGCTAACTACAACATTTTGTGCTTCTTCTAACTTCTTTCTGACAATTTCAACTCCTTTCCGCTTATTTCTGCAAGTTTCAGCTTTTTCTACCATTTCAGCAACTATATAGCTGTTTTATGTTAATTTAAGCTTTTTCAGCTAATTCCACATTTTTTGCACTCATTTAAACATTTTTCAGCCTAATTCAGAAAAAATGTGCTCTTTCCACCTCCTTGTAATTAGCTTCTTTCTGCCTTTTTTAGCTACTTTTCAGCTGTTTTTTTGCTAATTTCTACTAATTTCTAATCAATTCATTCAACCTTTATTTAGACAGGTAAATCCCATTGAGCCTCAAGGACTCATTTACAAGAGAGACCTGATTTCAACAAAGAAAGATGAAAACAATGGACAAAAAAGTCATACAATTTTTTTTTTTTTAAACAAATAGGATGGCTAAAAAAAAAGAAAAGTAAAAAGAAATAAAAGTAACAAAAAACAGCTAGATTCTAAGGCGAATGTAGAAAACTAAAAACAGGAACTAAAACAGTCTAACTGGGCATACGCTTTCTTTCTGCTTTCTTCTGCTAATTTAAGCTTGTTCTACCTTTCAGATACCTTTTTAGAATTGTTTTAAGCTACTTTCAGCTGTTTTCAGATAAATTCAAGTTTTTCTTGGTAATTTATGGTACTTTCAGCCTAATAACTACTTTCTACTAATTTCAGCTTGTTATGCTCCTTTCAGCTTTTTTCAGTTAGTTTCAGCCTTTGCTGCTATTTCAGTTACTATTTAGCTGTTTTATGCAAATTTGAGCTTTTTCAACTAATTTCACATTTTTGAGCTCCTTTGAGCTCTTTCCACTTCCTTCTCGTAGGTTAAGCTTCTTTCTGCCTTTTTGGCTACTTTTTAGGTTTTTTATTTTTTGGTGCTAATTTGAACCTTTTTTAGTTGATTTCCTAATTTTTGTGCTCGTTTCTACTTATTTAAACTTAATTCGGCAAATGTGTTCTTTCTGCTTTCTTCTGTTAATTTAGGCTTGTTCTTTCATTTCAGCATGTTTTTATTTTTTTAGCTAATTTCAGCTGTTTTTCAGCAAGTTCTTCTGCAATAATCATTCACACTGTATTTTCGCAGGAAACGTGATGTCTCTAGTTTTAAATATGTCCTGATACACAAAACATCAACACTGAAAGTGAGACGACTTTCTATTTCCCGTAACTGAGTATATTTTCTTGAAAAGACTTTAGAATAACCGACCTTGTTGGCCGCAGCGTTGACGCTGGGTCTGGCATCGAAAATGAAAAGTTTATGGGACTGAGCGTTAGCATCCATGATCGCCTGGAGGCACTTCTCGTCCTCTTTGCTGCGCTTCCCGTTCACCCCGACCATCGGCTGACTGCAGCGTGCTATCGTAGCCTGACTTTCTGGATGAATCCAAGACAACACCTAAACACGGAGTAGAAATGACGATAAGAACGTCGTACTGCTGGTGAAAGAGGACTGTGATGCTGTGGAAGCAAGTTACTCACAGGTATCCTGCCCTTCGCTCTGAAAGCAGCTACTCTCTTCAGCTCTTCATCTGGTATGTTGACTGGTACGGCCAGAGTTGATGGGTAGGTGTCACTCAGCTCATAGTGATCATTTACTTTGGTTATCCTCCAGCTTTCATTGGGTATACCCTTTACAAAATCAAGAGCAAATGCTGTAATACGTTTTCTTTGACATTTTCCAGAGCATCCATACTACTTTACCTTAACACAGTGGTTCCCAACCGCGGTCCTTGAGGAACACCATCCTGCATGTGTTAGTTGCTTCCCTGCTCCAACACACTTGATTCAGTGATTTCATTATTTCTTCATGTTCTGCAGAAGCCTGTTAATCACCCATTTATTGAAATCAAGTGTGTTGGAGCAGAGGAACAACTAAAACATGCAGGATGGTGTTCCTCAAGGACCGCGGTTGGGAACCACTGCCTTAACATACCAGCCTTTTGTATTCGGAGATGGCATCATACACCTTCCAACCGTTTTCGGGAAAAACCTGCCCGTATTCAAAGGCAAAGATTTGCTACAAAGAGTGGAGAAGAAAATAATCAGCTAAAAAAAATCTGTGAAAGGCTACAATGACAGCAAGAGTGCGGCTGCGAGTCGCTCACCAGGCCGTTGGAAACGGGAAAAGCAAATTTCATCAGAGCATCAAAAATAGATTTTCGGAGCGTGTCCTCTATTTGTTTGTGAGCAAATCGTAGATTACGCATATCCTGCAGAAGTAAAGAGCAGCAGGTCAGACGATAACTTTTTATCTCACAGCAGTAAAATAAAACGGAGGTTTCTCAAAACCTGGTTCTTAGTTTGTTCATGCAGTTCTGAGCCCCAACCCATGCTTCTATTCTCTTTTTCTAACCTTGAAACTTCTCCGACTTACTCACCCTGCACACTAGTCCGTAGGAAACATCGCCGATCGATGCCGTCACAATCTTCTCCACGCGATTCACCACTCCGAGAGGCAAATCCAGAAGAAACGATGGCTCCTGGAAACCAACAACAAATGAACAAAGTGTTTCCACAAAATACTTAGCAGTACTTTATTATCTGTTTTCTCACACATACCCTGTCCATGGATTTGAAGAACAGCCTGTAGTTGGTAATCATCACTGTTCCTCTCACAGCTCCGGTGAAAGGACAGAAGTAAGTGATGTCTTGTGCTGCAGAGACAACGTGAAAAAAACTGTCAACTTGTTATTCTTGAACAAAAGAAACAAAAGGATCACATATGGCACACCTGTCTATTATACAGCAATCACACAGAAAAGCAAATACATTGTAGAAATGTTGACCTTGATTTGTGATCTTGACCTTAGAGCTCGGATGGTGAAAGAATTATGAAACATACTGTCCAGTGCTGGTCCAGATTTATGTCAAGTTCTATTAAATTATCTTAAGAGGATCAGAAGTTACGGCCCAGACAAGCAAAGCACTTGTTTGAACTTTGACCTTGATTTGTGACCTTGAACCTGCAACTGGGGCGATGAAAAGTGTTATGTGACACTCCTTCTAGTGATGGTATATATGTGTATGAAGTTTCGTTAAATTATCTTGAGTGGGTCAGAAGTTATGGGCGGGGACAATCAAAAACCTTATTTTAACTTTGACCTTGATTTGTGACCTTGAACTTGAAAATAGGGTGGTGAAGAATGTATACGACACTCCATTTAGAGATGCTATAAGATGTACGATGTTTCATAAAATTATTGAGCGGGTCAGGAGTTAATGGGCGGGACAAGCAAAGAC